AAGAGCAGAAGTCATACTACTGAACAAAGCTGGAAGTCTACTAAATAAAAAAAATGAGAATGGGTTCAGTGAATATTGTCTAATTTATCAATGCTTAAGGTTACTAATCAGCTGGGAGTTCTTCTAAAGGTCAGTAAACTCCAAGAAGACATATTGGTGACCCTCATTTTCATTCCTTTTCACCCCCTCTTCCCCATCTCCCTCCTGTTCAGTCCAGCCAGTAATTAGTACCTCGTGTTTTTAATTTTCCTTGAAAAGTAAATTTAAATATGAATAAAAATTTATGTCTAATTTTCAAGCTTAAATTATCTGTTAGACAATGTAGTCCATAAAAAAACCCCAAAACAATTCTGAATGATGCAGGTACATTGTGCTGTCTTACTGGTCTTTTGTTATTGATGCACTGTTTGCAGTACCAAAATTCAATAACTATGACGCTTCCATAAAGGAATTGTCACCTCTCTGCAGAGTAATTGCCCTAAGTTAATAGACCTACAGAAATAATGGCAGAGATGTCTTCAGTTACAATGCTGAATTCAGTGCTATGGTGAAATAGGTTGACAAAATGCAGCAGCTTTATAAAACTGTTGAAAAGGGACCTAACTGTGCATTTGTGAATTTCTGGTACCCACAGATTTACTAGGGGCACTATTAGCCATTGCATTTTTATAGGATGCCTAAAAATAGGTGTTTATGCAAGGAGGGCTGTAAAATTGCCCTCCTTCATTTCCAGCATAGGATCTTGCTTTTGTCTCCACTGGCCTATGGCAGGTTCATCCTGGGTCACCTCAGAGAGGCACAATCTCATGAGCCACATTTGAGCTGGCTTCAAATGCAGGGTGTGTATGCAGTAGGATCTCCCATCCACAGATTCTCCAAAGTGAGGAAGGCTCCCCAGTGCAGCAAATGGCAGTGCTGAGCTCACATGCCCTCTTAACAGGAGGGAACTCCCTTGGTTTCGCAGATTAAAATAGCAGCAGCTTCAAAGTAGGGCTCTGCTAGTTATTTTTTAATGCTTTAACTTACTCACAGGCAAACACAGTTTAATTTGTCCCCAAAGCAGTTAATAATTTAAGCTAAAAATTGCTAGCTAGCTTTCGCCTACTCTATAAAGAAAATGCTTCAGCGTAGTACAAGTAAGAGCGCTAGAGCAGCTCTGGCATCTCCTGAGAGGGTGGCCTGTGTCTCTTCTTCAGTGCACCACTAAAAAGCCCACTGCAGTTATGTCTTCTATCCAAGTCACAGTCGTATCACTAAGTCACAATCCTGGCTGTGTCTCCTGTTGCTATTTTAATTTCCAATTAATAATTAAAAACTTCTTGTTGATTTAGTATAGTAGCCAAACCTCTGTCCTGGGAGAAAAAGCTAAAGTGTGCTACTGGATTTTTAGGTAAGCAGAAGCATTATAAAGTGGGCCTGAAAAGAAAAAGGTGGTGTTAAAAACTGTTTTTCATCTCTCTGTGTCTGTTTATCAGCTTTGTGAATGGCCACTAGCATGTCAGTGTATTTCACTTTTTTTGACAGTGAGGTGCTAATGCAAAATGATAAGAATAAAAAATCAACTGTTGAAATCAATTAGTCATCTAGGTTGATCTTGCACTAATGCCAAACAGGCATTGTTTACTATAGCAGGAGATTGACTACCCTATATCCTACTAATCTGTTCATAGATTATTTCTATAACTTCCAACTTTAACTGTTACAAACCATAACAATATATTGATCACATAATTTTCATCCATAAGATAGCCAAACTCAAATTTTGGGGTGAAGCATAGTTATTGTTTTTTCAGTAATCTCATGTTACCATTTAAGACTTCAAATGTAACTCTCAGTGTCATTTAGGTATCAGTATTGCTTGGAATTATAAAATATTTTTTTAAGGGCTTATTTTAGGACTGAGCCATATATGAAAACCAGAATAATTAGAATTGCATCACTATAGGTAGAGAGCATCCATCTAAATAGAACAACAGAAACAAAGTAGACTCCAGTGAAATTTCATGGTGGGGAAAGAAATTTCATGGAGGGGAGAGGGGAGCAAAACAAAAAAAAAAACAATCCCGCTGATGTTAACTTGGTCCTGTCCTCTTTTAATGACTGCTGCTCTGAACAAGAAGAAGGATGCAGCCTTATGCATGGTTACCTTAGTTTTTACAAGAAGCCCCTTAGCTGATGCTGCTTTTGAATATTTCATCTGACTGACAGAACCACAGCATTTTCCTATTTATTTTCTTAGTGCGTTTGGTAAAAATGTAAAAAAATGCCTGAAAAGGCCAATGCAGGATGGTCTGACTCCCTTTGAAGGCCCTCCACTGTATCACAGCTGGAGCATCCTGACCAAGGCAGTTTTAAGTATCAGCCAGCCAGGGTGAGTGGAGCACCGCCCTACCTAAAGATGTAATTCTGCTGTTTTTATCACCTCTGTGTAGTTGGGTGCTACATAAGCTGTGACCAGAATGACCCAGCTCAGACTGATTCCTCTTACAACCTTGCAAGGTGAAGCCTCCCCTTTTGGCTGCTGTATATGGATTTTGCAAGTCAGGTGGTTTGTCAGTGCGAAGAGATGCAGGAGTGGGATTGGTGCTGTCCCAAGAGCTTCCATATCACCCCAACATGTGCAACTCACAGCCCAGACAGGTCAGTCTGGTGACAAATGGATGTCAAAGTCAGTTAATGAAGAAGGTGTTAAAATTAGGCCTTACATACACTGCTGGTGACAAGCTGAAAGGATAATGCTACTACTTTAATGGTCTTTTAAAAATCAGTCTCTTTTTTAATTTTGAATTTCCATTGGGTAGTTTGATGGGCCCTGATACTCCTTTGAAGAACACAGCAGGTGAGGAAGAAATTATTCTTTCTTCTCTTGGTAAGCTTGTGAGGCTGCTCAGCTGCTGTTGCGTTCAAAGGAAAGAGAAATGCAGCCCACAGAGCCCGTGACCCCACCACAACTCAGCAGAAACACACACTGACCAGTGTGAGTGACACTGGCTGCCTGCTTTGGGCAGTCTCTGGCCTCAGCGGCAAGGGCATTTTCTTTTTACATCCCTGTCACAATAATGGGAATTATGCGGTGTTATTCCCACCCTCATCTGCTCTGTGGCCTCCAGTATCAGTACCTGGCAGCTCACTTTCAGTGTTGGCCTCTCTCTGCATGGCTTCCATAACAGGTGATTTTATTTTCCCAGCTTTTCCAACTTTATCACTTCTTGGGCTAGAGATCACTCATGTTGGTTTAGAGGCTTTAGCCAATGTTAACCATCCCTTTACAAAAACTAAAAAATATGGATTCCCACTGTACATATTATATGTTCCTAATATAATGTACAATTAAGGTCATTGAATTTGGATAAATATTTGAGTCAAATTCTTACCTTAGTCCCAGTTTTCACATTTCAGGTTCATCTGTGTTTTCTATTGCTCTGGAAATTGAATGAAACTGAGTATGTGGTTGCTGAAATTCTAATTAACTTTGTTTTCTTTTTGAATGAGGATTAAAGCAAACCAAGAATCTTTTTCTGGGTTTTTTTAACAGAAGCAGTTTCCAAAATCTGCAGCCCAGAAGGCCAGTTTGTACCCTCACAATCAGAGGTCTAATTTCTTAAATCCTCCTATACTGAAATTTTAAATGCTTCATCAGTTCCCAGAAAAGCTATAGATATTCAGACATTTATATGGCCCATTTAAGTGATCTTTTTGTTTCTTATATAGCAAGTTTTTGTCATTTGTGTAGCTTTCAAGTGATTTTTGCATGCTTCATGTATTTGAATCGCTTCTTGTGGGTAATATCCCTTTGCACATAAAGCTTCTCAGCTGTTGAATTTGAATTTTCTTAGCTATTAGAATTTAAGGTTCATATATGAAATATATTCCTGAAATATGTATACCTGATCAGCAAAAGAAAATCCTACAGAGAGATGAATTTGGCCCAATACACATAATAATGAAGGCAAAACTGTGTTTGATCTAGTATTTAAAATAGTTTCTTTGTTTTATTGTGTTTTTGGGCTGTGTTCCAGCAGGTTTGCGTTAATCTACTTTATAAGTATAAACCTGGATTCTGAACAATCAATCAGTACAAGGTCAACTGCAGCCATTGCCTGCCTGGTACAAATCAAAACTTAAGACACATGGACATTTGTGAGAAAATAGAGAAACAGAGGTTTCACTGTCACCAAAATGCTTTTCATGTTCAAAAACAAATATATGGAATGGTTTCAAGTAAATTAGGTAATGGATTTTTGGCTAGATTTTGAGAGTAAGATCGTGGAGAAACCTAGAGGTGAAGTTATAGTGTATTTACTATATTTACGTGTGAAGTTAGTGTATTTACTGAGTACTGTACTGGTCTACACCAGAGTAATCTGAGATGGCACTGGCTGAATAGTGCAGCTATTGGTCAGTGGTTAAAAAACTTCCTCAGGGTAAAAAAAAATGTCTTTGACTGAAAACCTCCTGCTGCTCAGCTTTAGACATGTTGCACAATTGATTAAAGGCACCTGAACACAGTCAGGTGGTGGTGGAGGAGCAGTTTAGGGATGCTGCTCTCCCCTGCTTTGCTCAGGTACAGCTGACTCCTCCGCAGGCTTCCTTACAGTGGGGTTGGGGCAAGCACATGACAGCTACACTGCTATGGCTCAAGGTCTTCAGGAGGTGGCCACTGCTTCTGGTTGTGTAGCCACATCCTTTGTTTGGATGAAAAGCACCTAGTTCTGACAGGAACCTCCTGCCATGGAGACCTGGCAGCAGAAGGAGAGCTGGCACAGATGCTGACAACTGGTAGCTTGCTGTCTTGAGAGGCAATGATGTCTGCCAAAGATACACCAACAGACATCAGAGAGTTGATCCAAGACTCCGAGAAGACCATGGAGATTTTCTCTCATACTAGGATCTGTGTTAGGATCTGATTCTTTTGTTTATTAGAGAGATGGCTCTCTAATAAGAGAAGAGGGACTTCCCATAAATATGCCCCTGAATTAAGGTGCAAACAGACAATATGCTGAAGTCTATAATAAGGATTTTATTTAATAATAAATGTGAAACAGAGACATAAAGAAACAGTAACAAAAGCAGGAGGTGAATAGAGAGTGACAGAAAAATTAAGTAGAAAGGTATCACGACCTGTGGATCCAGTAGGTGTCCTGTTGGTTCTCTCTGGTCTTCAGGTCTTCTTGATTGTGGGGGTCCCATAAAACATGGGGTTCAACAGGTTAATACATGTTCAAGTGTATGTGGGAACATCCAGGTACCTCCCCTAGAGTGGGTTAGATTTATACTGTCTTTTGAAACGCTGTGGAGCATGTGCAGTCCTCTGGTGGAAGACATTCAGTCTCTCACAGACCCAAGCCCTGAAATATTTGTTCACATGCTAAATGACAGAGTGCTACCAGCCCATTGTTTTTGGTATGGTTGGAGCACATACACATCTGGCACAATGTAGATGTGCTCTTCCATCACCTTCTCCTCCAGAATGAAGTTCAAAGAGGCGATAAATATATATAAACCTGAAAATTATGATATTGAGAAATAAATTTGACCTATTTTGTTTGACGGAGGCAAAAAGAAAGTAAGTCAAATACATCTTCAATGTATTCTGGTTTCCGAGAGGAAACTTGGGTGGTAATGTCAGGAAGGCCCTGTCTGTGTCCCTTGAGGCGTCCTGAAGAAAAGAATCAATTTGCTATGGGGCACTTTTCAAAGAGTGCACAATTAGGGGCAGCGATGCAAAAAATTACAGCCACAAAGAACATGAAAGACTTGCAGACATGTGACTGAAACACCATGACTGGGAAAAGCAGGGTCTGGTTGGTCCTGTTGTGTGCCTTGGTTTCCCTAATTACAGATGCAACCTGTTGGTTTATCTTCAATAGCTTAGCAAGATTACTTTCACAGTGGTTGCCTGATAAATGTCTGCTTGCTCGTTAACATAGCGGACATTTCCTAGCTCTGCTTAGTTATTCAGCCTCTCTTAATTCACATCCTTTTTAGTTGATAGGCCGAAGTTCAAATGAAAAAAATTTTTGATCCTATTTGTATGACTGTGTATACTTTCCCTCATATATGGTCAGAATAATAATTTCAAACCCAGAAAAAACCCCAAACCCTGAGCAGAAAGCTCATTTACATTTATTCTGGGGCAAAACTTCTTTTGAACTCTGAATATAATTTCTTCTTAATCACTTGTACCTTTATCTCTACAGTACAGTAGTAGTTCCTCAAATCTATATTGCTTTCCCATGAGGCCTATGCTATAATTATACATATGTACCCCATTAAAGCAGCAAACATTTTTTCAATATATTTAAAGAAGTTATACAGGCTTACTGGATAATGTGTGTTGTTAGAACTGGCAATGTTTTTGATATGGGACAATGACATAATATGTCAAACCAAAGCCTGTCTTTAAAGTATTCCATTTATCATGACCTGAATTTGTAAGGTATATATCAGAAAATGTTTAGCCTGAAGAAATGAATAGAAATAGAGAATTTTTTTTTCTGAAATGTTTGCTTCAGCACTGTAAATTTTCAGAGAGCAGTCTCTGAAATAGCAGTAATGAATCAGGTGAATGTTTGCTTTCAAGGGCTCCTTGGGAAGATCTAGAATTACTCACCTGAAAAGAAGCTGTACGCAGCTGAGCTGTGTTGCAGTTGCATGTCTCAGTGCTCTTCTGGGATGGAGCAGACTGGAGTGTAAGACCCTTCTCTGTTTCCTCTCTGTTTCCTTCTTCACTTGCCCAGGGAGTAAATGCCAGCCATTACCTCCTGCACATTTCCGGTCCCATTCCCATCTTTTCCTTTTCCCTATGCTTCTTTTTAGTCTGGGAAAAAAAAAAAAAAAAAAAAAAAAAAAAAAAAAAAAAGCCATCTCTCCTCTCAGCTAAGTGCCATAGCCTAGATCTGAGCTATGCTGTCTTTACTCAGTCTCCTTTTTGCCTAAAACACTTGCATTCTTGGAGGTCCAGTTACTGCAAGGCATGTGGTGGATGAAAGGATCTTCCATAGATGTAACCCCCCAAGTCCTGCAGCTGGTACTTTCAAATGTCCTTTAGTGAATGCCTCTGAGGAGACAACAAATTGAATATCACACACCAAGGGCCCAATGTCAAGGGTTTTTCAGCACTGCCAATGCACACAGATTTAGAGCAAATCAAATAACAGAATGGCAGCTGATCATGCAATTGCTATTTTCATTCATTGACTGCTAAATTTTTTTAAAAATACTGTCCTACAGAAAAGTCACAACCTTTTAGTAAATAATTTTTAGTTTTAAAAAATCTGCACAGGGTATAATCTTAGTGTCATTTATAACTTACTGAGTAGCTTTTATTTACTGGACCACACCATCTTTTGTTAACATCCATGAAACTTCCAAAATGTTGTATTAGTCATCGGAGAGCTTTCAGTTTACTCCCAACCTACATTAGAGACAAATGCAGAATTACAGGGAAAGCATTAATAAAAAATTGACACTGAAAACTACAAGGGTTGTTGCAAAGTGCATTTCCTAGTAGGCATCAGGAGTTAACAATATAAAAAATTCTATAAAATTCATGCTTAATATAGTGTGGTTTGATTTTTCAAGAACAATGTATTTTACACTAGGCCTAAAATGGTCTCCATAAATAATAAACCATTTGAAAGCACTAGGTCAGTGCCGATGAGCAGAATCAGTGGCATCCTGGTATTTTTTTCTAGAGTCCCTCCCATGTTTAGGTGGTGACAGGTAGGTAAGGAACCTGGTCCTCCCTTTCTGATCACAAGTCATTTACATTGACATGAAAGATTTAAAGCCAGCGAATGAACTGCAGAGGACATGAATTCACAGGCAGCTCAAGGGAGCCAATTCTGCATCACAATTAAAACAAAGGAACTCATTCCCTTCACTTCTTTGTGAAGGACTTCTCACCTTTCTTTGAGGACCATTAGTGGGACAGAAAAAACCCCAATAATTCATAATAGGACATTTTTCCTCCTCCCTTTTCCCTGCTCTTGGTTTTCTGTGTTCCTGAGGTTTATCTGCTGAGGTTCCTGGCACTGTAAGCACAATGTTTTCACTCATTTGTCTTGCATTGCTTTCAGGTTCTCTGACCACTAAAACTAAACCATATCTAACCAAATAAGCCACTGAGGAATATCTGGAAAAATCAACAGAGCTGTTAAAAGAGATTGCACATTGCATAAATGAGAAGCCATTTAGATGAACAATCTCATGTCTTCATAAGCAACAGTGTCTCATTTTCCATGTAGTGGCATGCTTTTGAGCCTCCCTCTTGCCTCCCAATTATATGCTTGTCAAATACAGAGACAGAAGGTCACAACCACTTTGCTTTCCCCATTGTACAAATCAGCCAATGAATGCTTCCACTTAGTGTATTTCAATTATTTATGATACCTAGTTTGAATAAATACACTTCTAGGCCTGAATCTGGAAGATAAAAGGGAAAAAAATAGCATAGCATCTCATTTGAAATGGGCAACACCAGACTGGAAAATAGAGAGAAGTTCTCCTAGCATGCCTTTGCTAGACAGCAAGTCATGGGGAACATAAATCATCTGGCTTTCTTTACATTGGTTGAAGTGATCAATTGAAACTACACCATCCTGATATACGTCTTCTTAACATTCTATTTGGAAGTACAGCTGAGAAACATGTAAACACATGCATCTCTCCCAAGCAAATAGAGTGGGTTTAACTTGCAGACTAGACTTGGTGGACAGCTGAGCATCTAGCTCCTTCTGAAGTCTTGATGGGAGCCAAAACAAACATCTTATCAGTTATGTCTGACCTGATGTATGTACTCAGAAGATGCCTGTGAGAATTTCTCAAAAACAAGGGTTGGAGTCCTCTTAGAGAGTGCTGAGTCTCGTGGCTCCAGCCACAGCTCCCTGCCTCCAGACCGTGAATCCATGTGTCCTACCCCCAGAGCCATTCCCCTTGGCCCCCAGGCCCGGTGTCTCAATTAGCAGCTGTTCTATCTTGGTACTGGTCAGGGTCAAGCACTGACAACACACCCTCATTGTCCCCTGTTCTGGGTCACCTCTGGCTCTTGGGCATCATGCTCTTGGGTCTGCAGACACAAGCCTTTCATGGGCCAGCAGCCCCTGTAATATCAGGATGAGCTGGCCAGGGAGGTACTGGTGTTTCCCAAGCTATAATGGTATTTGAGAGCTGTTGTCATGTAACCCCACACTCCCTGTCCTCCCCTATCCAAGAGCCCACAAGATGACTGTCGGCTCAGAGGAACTTACAGTTGGATCTCTTATGGCTATTGTAACTATAAGCCATACGGGATTCTGGATCAAAATGCTCTCATCAGAAGTTAGTTGCAATGAACTCTGTAATGCCAAAGAATGACACTGAAAATGAACCAGAGAAGAAATTCTTAGGAACCTCTCATTGATACAATGAATTTTTAAAAAAGAATGAACATATTTCCATAACAGGAAGCAAGTGTCAGGTCCTGTGAAGCTCTCCAGGATAGAACAGGTTGTAGCTTAACAGTTTTTCTCTCCTGAACAGCAAAACAGAGTAGAAAGATTATTCATCAAAGTAGGGACAAAGCATTTTGGACACAGCATTTCAGCTAACAAATGCAGCAGATCTAGTCTCCTGTTCCTGGGAAAGCCCTCAGTCCTCCTTGGCTTTGGAAGGACCCACTTACAAAGAAAACCCAACTGCACAGTCCAGCTAAGAAGAGCCTCATCCCTAATGCCTGTCTGCAAACCACTGATGAGATGAGTGGATATTCCCAGGGCGACATGGGCACAGGAAGTCCCCATCTACCTACATGGATCTCAGACCCAGTTTGAACCTGCAAGGAGATCTGCATACACAGGGTTTGAAGAGATGGTGAACTTTTTGACCTTGTTACAAGGCATGTGCATGCTGTGCCCAGGGGGTACCTACAGCCTCTGGAGCCAGCATATGCTCCAGGATAGGGTACAGAGCCCTGAACAACAAAGGGAAGGAGTTTCACGCACTCCATGTTCTCAGCTTAGTGCTGGTCAGGGTTGGACTCTGTCTCTCATGTGTTTTCTTCACATTAGGTACACGTACAGATGATAAGGCTTGTTTCCTGAGCTTTTGTTGTGAAGTTTGTTTATGCAAATTGCTGGGCTTGGTTTTCTCATGGTTTATCTCTTCCCATATGATTGCAGGGTCAGGATCACTCTGCATTTATGGTTGTTTTTTTGGGAAATATTGAGGGATATTCAACTCCCCCTTTTGAACAGGCTTGCTCCAGAACAAGTCCCACAAAGCCACTTGTCAGGAAGAGCATGGTGCTCTCCACAGTGCTCTGAGCAGAGCGGCTCCCTGCCTGCCACCCGCCAGTGGGGATCTGTGCCTTTCACTGGGGCCATCCTGCTGGGCCTTTGTCCTTCTCACTGGCAACACTTTCAGAAACTGAAAAAGGCCTGTTTATCCCCTTGCTCATTTAAATGCAGATAGGCTAATGCCTTGGCTATTTAAAGTAATGGCAGTCAGCAGAACAGATGCTTAGGATGTGAGTGCTGGACTATCATTAAAAGATATGGTCTATGATTAAAATATGTTTTTCCTATGGGAAACTGCAGCCCTCTGGGACTTTTTGGCATATTAAGAAAGTTTTCAGCTACCATGTCTCTCTAGCAGAGATAAAATAATGTAAACTTGCTACTGATGCCGGGAGCATGTTGCTCTCTTTCCTCCTGTTGTTTCTGGATCTTGAGACTATTTTGTTTTGATTTTTGTAGCTTAGCGACTTTGAGTAGAAAGAATGAAGTATCTTATGTTCTTCTAAACTGAGGTCTTACTTTCTTGTAAGTACCTACAGGTACTCTTGACCTGTGATTTCATAACATAATATAATGTAATATCATGCAATATATAATAAATAATATTTTCCACTCTGATTTCCTCTTGTTCACTATTTCCTAGATAAGAGATCATTCTGGGTGCTTAGATTGATAATTTCACGGATACAGAGTGGATTTGGCTGCATATATTTCCTTGAAATGAGCAGCGACTGTGTTTCTAATCTAACAGAGTGATTCTGAAAAATTTCATACTTACAGCTTATTTTTAACAAAGGAATTATTTCCTTTCAGGAACAAACCCTCTGTAGCTTGGGAAGCTGAAGCATGTTAGCCAGTTCCAAACTACATCAATTCTCACCAGAAGCAAATCTAGAGGTGTGTGTTCTACATTTCTTTGGTTAATAATGTGAATCAAGTTTTATTCGGTAAATAAAAAGATATGTGTTGCTAAAGTTTTCCAACATCTCATTTAGAGTGTAATAAACTGGCTGTTTGCTAGCCTTGTGGCTCCTCTTAGTTTCTGATTGTATGGTATCAGAAAAATCGATACCTCATTTCTCACATCAGCCAGATGGATGCGCCAGGCAAGGGCTTCAGCCAAGCCTTTGTGCCATTCTGACAGGGGAAAAAACATGTTTTCCCTATTTCAGGCTCTACTGTTTACAAGCAGCTATTGACAGCTTTGCAGTACTTTCTCTCAGTAAGATCTATCACAGTAGAACTTTGAAGTCTTGCTGGCTCGGCTGTATTTCTTATACCTCCTCACTTACCAAGTAAGTGGTTACTATTGCATGTGTTCACTAAATGTTGAGATCAGCCACATAGTAAAAGGAAGTGTTCTGAATTTACAGTCAGCCTGACTGATGCCGATCCTTCCAAAAAAAGCTGTCAGGAGATTTTGGCTTACAAAAACCT